TAACTCTCTTTTCTCTCCCAACTTCAATCTCCGGCCATGGCTTCAATTTCAGCAGCCACCGCCACCTCCTCCACTAAGCTTGTATCATCCAACTCCACCAATCCTCTTCTTCCTTCCTCCACTAAACCCTCTAAGCTTATCCTATCCTCTTCCTTTACCCCTAATTGTTCCACCCTTTTCCTCCACTCACCCGCCACCCCTTCTTCTACTGCCACCCATCGCCACCGCCGGTTTACTGTCCGCGCTGCCCGTGGCAAATTCGAGCGGAAAAAACCCCATGTCAACATCGGTACTATTGGCCATGTTGACCACGGAAAGACTACTCTCACCGCTGCTTTAACCATGGCTCTTGCTTCTATGGGAAACTCCGCCCCTAAGAAATACGACGAAATTGATGCCGCCCCAGAAGAGCGTGCTCGTGGTATTACTATTAACACTGCTACTGTTGAGTACGAGACTGAGAACCGTCACTACGCCCACGTGGATTGCCCTGGTCACGCTGATTATGTCAAGAATATGATTACCGGTGCTGCCCAAATGGACGGCGCTATTCTTGTTTGTTCAGGTGCTGATGGTCCCATGCCACAGACTAAGGAACACATTTTGCTTGCTAAGCAAGTAGGTGTCCCCAACATGGTTGTGTTCTTGAACAAACAAGATCAGGTTGATGATGAGGAGCTGCTTCAGCTTGTTGAGTTGGAGGTAAGAGAGTTATTGTCAAGTTATGAGTTTCCTGGTGATGATATTCCTATTATTTCTGGCTCTGCTCTTTTGGCTTTAGAGGCTTTGATGGCTAATCCTAGTATTAAGAGAGGTGAAAATCAATGGGTTGATAAGATATATGAGTTGATGGACGCTGTTGATAGTTATATTCCTATTCCAGTTAGGCAAACTGAATTGCCTTTCTTGATGGCTATTGAAGATGTGTTTTCCATTACTGGTAGAGGTACTGTGGCGACGGGGAGGGTAGAGAGAGGGACTGTTAGGATTGGAGACACTGTTGATATTGTAGGTTTGAAGGACACTAGGAGTACTACCGTGACGGGTGTTGAGATGTTTCAAAAGATTTTGGATGAAGCAATGGCTGGAGACAATGTGGGGTTGTTGTTGAGAGGTATTCAAAAGATTGATATTCAGAGAGGAATGGTGTTGGCAAAACCCGGAACAATTACCCCTCACACCAAGTTTGAAGCTATTGTGTATGTGTTGAAGAAGGAGGAGGGTGGTAGGCATTCCCCCTTCTTTTCAGGGTACAGGCCTCAGTTTTACATGAGGACTACTGATGTGACCGGAAAGGTTACTTCCATTACGACTGATAAAGGAGAGGAATCTAAGATGGTCATGCCTGGTGATCGTGTGAACTTGGTGGTTGAGCTCATTATGCCGGTGGCTTGTGAGCAAGGGATGAGATTTGCCATCAGGGAAGGAGGAAAGACTGTTGGAGCTGGTGTCATTCAGAAAATTATCGAGTGATCAACCAATAGCGGAGCAATTTCCCTTCAAATGGTCTGGTCCCTGTCACACAGTATTTTTAATCCATTGTCATATATGCAGCTTTTTGGTTACTTTTTTCTTATCTTTTAGAATCCTAGTTCAGTTGGAGAAATCTTGTTATAAGTCAATCCTAGTGGACCTTTGCGAGTTTGCTTCAGTTTCGTGCTTTGTTTTTTCATTTGTTTGCAAGGATGGAGAACATTTTGTCTCTTGTGCATCTTACTTTCTGCTAGAACAAATTCATATTGTGTTTGAAACTCGAGTTTAACATGCTAATGAAATTAGGTGCATTTGATATTTGTTTTGACGAATTGATGCTGCTAGGAAACACCCAAAAAAAAGATTACTGAGATGTTTTCTTTACCAGCATATGTCGTTTAAAAACTAAAATTGATGGACATGAGCTGACCCTGTAAGGAAAATATTGTAACAGAACCTCATAAGACTTAAGTTTAGTGATGCTTAATTGTTATTCTCAATTCTGGCTTTAATCCCTGAGTAGAACTATCTGAAATGATCAGTTGGTTCTGTCTTGGAATTCCTAGACAATGGTCTTTATTTATGTACATGAGCATCGTAGAAATTACACTATTAGACATGTCATATACCTATTGCTTATTATCCTCGGAGTGAGATAGTTCGTTCATGCTTGATGCTGTAAGCATGCTTGAAAGATATTCTAGCTGGCTGTTATACTAGGAAGCCTGTTTTACTAAGCTGAGCTAATGAATGAGATTATGTGTTTGATGCCTCTGGATTCAACCTCTGATGTGGAGTTGATTGTTTGTAGCATCTGGTGAAAATGAACGTCATAGCATGTAATTTGTTATATAATGTGATGTTTACTGTTTTTTAAGTGGTATAAGTCAAGCTGTTGAACCGAGCTTTTTCTTAAAATCCCCTATCAACTGCAGCTTTGCAGTCCTTTAGCTCTGAATCAAACAAGCACAACTCCTGTTGCCACGAATTGTAGAGCAACATTTCTTCAGATATTTTTAGTTTGATGTCATTTGTGATGGCAAGTCTTGTTAAGTCCACATATTTCTTCCTCCTCCCTTTTGCACCCTTTGCATGTCACCCATGAGTTATGGTGTTGTTTCAGGGTTATTTGGCTAGTTATTATTCCTGTACTCTGGTGTATTGAAATTAGGGTCTCAAATCTAAACACAACTATTATCACTAAGGTGCAATCAGCTTCTTTTTGCCTTATCAAGCATAGCTACTATTGCTGAATGATGATATAGAAGATTAGGATTACTTGCATGGCCTTTGTATTTGCGCATAAAATGTCATAAATAACTTGTTTGGATAAGTTTCAAAGATCTGCACTTTGCTTATCATCTTTCATTTCCCTACTTAGCATGGTATTCAGTTTGTGATGCAATGATGGTCGAAAGGAGCAATCTGTCTGTATTCAGTCAAATGATGTTGGCTGAATACACGTGGGCCATCAATATCATTAATCTTGTTATTTTTCGCGGTTCGGAACAGTGGTCTGTCAAAGAGCTAGTTAATTGTCGATGTTGCTGAATTTGGCAAGTGATGCTGGAACATCTAGGCTTGAAAAGAGATTTTAAATAATGAGAATAGAGTTTACGTAGATGGAGCATGCCAGTAATATTGCGATGGACCATCCTTTTTTTTTTTTAAAATAACTGTGGTGTCCGGACCAGCTTGCGCGCACCTCGACTAATTCCACGGGATATCTGCTACCTCCCACCAACGACGGGTACCAGGTAACTCTATCCACCAAGGCTTGGATAGATGGGAAGAAATCATCTAGTGGTTTTTGCCCCTGCTGGGACTTGAACCTGAGACCTCTTGGTTCTCACCCACTTGATTGACCACTAGGCCACACCCTTGGATGAGCGATGGACCATCGTTGTCCAGTGTTTGATGCTCGTCAGTTTACTTACCAGTGAGGCATCCATGGTGGGGGAGGGGATTGTTTTTTTGCTGAATATTCTGGTTGGTGTTTGTTAATCTTACTGGACTTGCAAGTGTTTGAAAACTAGTTTGGGATTGAGCTATGTTTGATTGATTGATACCTTTGGTTACCTGTTGATGATCATGGTCAGTGTGTAGACATTTGGAGTTCTCTTAGTTCTTGTGCTACCTCATGATATGATCTTTTCTGAATTAGTGATTCGATGGTTTTTCTCTTGACCAATTATTTTCGAAATTCAGTTAACCAAGCTGGATTTTGGTATCATTGTATGTATCTATTTTTAAAACATCGGTCTATTGGTAAAATGTTAACCTTCACAGCTTCCCTTATGATTGCCAACATAAGTACAACCAGCAACTATGGGGTATCTTGATAGGTGTTGTTCGTTAAATGTAGTTGACTCATCGCAAGAAGTCAGTAACAGTGTAAAGATTCGCAGCTCAAAGTTTTATTCGTTAAGATTAGAATGTAGATGTTTTAATGAGAGCTAATCAAAGCTGAAAGAGCTTTTCCTATCTGGTGTTTCTGCTTTTGGGTTGCAGCAAAGGTGACCAGTTCTGCTTATGGAATCAGGTAAAATGCTCTGGATTCAGCTCTCCCTGACTTATTAGTATCATCTTGAAAGATAAAGTAAAACAGGTATGGGAAAACTGAAACTGTACAGTTGGATCAACAGGAGACTGGAGAACCAGTAGCTAATATAGGTGGTCTTTTGGTAGACGACCAAGCTTATTACTTAACTATGAGTCTATGAGAGTAATACTTCATTCGAAAATTAAGAACCTCAGATTCTGGTGGTATGTGACATTTAAGCACCTCTGAAAATTGGAAAAAATTAAAAAGGGGTGATGCTCATGCTCTCTCTGTTAAAACAATTTGTCCAAACAACTTACAATCGCCCTTCTCATTGTTAGTCCTTTTACCAAAATGTTGTCTAAACAAGTTGATGACTACGTTAAAGGAAAATTTCGTTTCAGTCTACTCCTTCATCTGCGGGTTAAGCTGTCAACCAGTTTGCCCAATTGAACCAGAATATTTTTCTCTCAGCGCAACAGATTACAATGTTGGCCCCTTCAACAAACGATTTATTTTTGAAATGGTTCAATTTGTATTCAGATATAGCCAGCCATATAGGAGATAATAACCAGCACATATTAAAGAAATGTTAAAATGTTCACTGCGTACTTGTCAAAGCCAATTTGCCAACTTCTGTTGAGTTTTTTTTTTTTTGGTTTCCCACCCGGTATCATGTACTCGCATTGGAGCCTGACTATATCCGGATTCACGCCGCATATGAACACAGGGCTCGAACTCGAGACCTCTGGTTAAGGGAAGAACAGTTCCGTCCACTGCACCACATCCTTTGGTGGTAACTTCTGTTAAGTTGTTAGGCAGCATGAAAATTTTATAACGTTTGGTTTAAAAAAAGCATTTTAAGAAAATGAATATATTACTCCGTAGTCCTTACTATACACTCTCCATAGAAATTTCTTATATCACGAAAGTGTCTAAAGAGGACGAGAAGGATATAAGTAGCATAAGTGGTGTGATATGCCCCTGAGGACAAATGAGAGACATTAACATATTTCAGTTTGCACTTAAATTGATCCATGACAGATAGTACGCAGTGCATGTGTTTTCGTGTAAATAGTTTCTAGCCACAAATAATGTAATTAGATATTCCGAGACTTTAGCTAGTAATGGGATACATATAGCACCTACATGTTTTTTGTGAAGAATTATTCTCATACATATGCTCTAATACTAAAAGCTGTTCTCTTCGTTGGGTTGAATCCTCCGGCTGGTTATGCATATCTTAGAAGATAGTTGAAGCAATAATCTCTTGAAGAAATGCAGCTCTTTGCCTTTTCTCTTCATACTGTTCTTCTTGGGCTGGATCACATACTGGCAGCTTGCTGCTACAAAGAAAATAGATTCATGTCATCTTACTGTCACTGTCACAGCCATGATTAATTGCACTACTAGTTCCCTCTTGACACCCTTCTTCTCTGGGATGTTAATAGGGTAGTGGGAAGAGGGGTTCAACAGGAAAAAGTAAAATTCTTTATCTATCTATATAATTATACAGCCAAAACCTAGGCACATCAACAGTTGAGAAATCTCTAGTGTCTCCTGCCTGTCCAAATTAAGCAATTCACAGAGCAATAATTTGTCATAACAATGATAGCTCAGGAATGTCCATTTTGGTATCACTCAGCATTTAATTTTAAGGGCTTAGGGTAGAATTCATAGGACATTTCAAACAATGGTACCTTTTGTTTCATGTTTAAGGTGTCCATCACTGCCCGTTTCATCACCACAGTTGATCATCTTTTACTCACACAAGGATTCTTTGCTACTAGTACCATTGGGCTCTGGCTGTCTTCTTGTATGCCAAAGACGTAAGTCCAAACTTCAACATGATGGGGGCATTAAAGAAAACACCCAGAAAGAGGCCGAATCTACTTTGAAGGGCATGCATTGGTTTCTCAAATGAGGAAAGAGCACCCACCTACATACATACTCTGTTTATTCCAGTGACAACTAATATTGGAAGGTACACTTTTTAGTAGGAATTGCAAGTTTGCTTCCATGTTATTTCACGTTTAGCACTAGTGATTCCAGTTGTTTTTATGGTAAATTTGCAGGAAAGCTGAGATTAAATGAATAAATAAGTAATTATACGCATGCATATCAAATAAGATTTCCTTAATTGGTACCTTTCTACATCAGGAGCAGCAGCAACACTACCAGGAGACTCATCTAGTAGACCATCTTTAGAATCAGAATGAGCCGTACTGCATAGAAATGGCAGCAGAAGGGGATCAGGAGCAGGTTCTTGTACATTGTAGCGGCCAACCATTAAATTTGTGCACAAGAATGAATTTATTTCATGGGGGTCCTTGCCACTTATTGCTGAAGTATTGTTCCAGAAGCTAGACTTCTGGTATCTTCTCCTCCTCTGCAAAACAAGGTGGGAAAAGGGAGGTTTGCTTACTCATTAGGTGCTAATAATCATATATTTATGTACTATTTCTTATTGAAATATGCTTACCTTTACTGATTGTGCATGCTGCAATGTAAAATGCCCCAGAGGATCTTTACCTAAATTTGCAGCACATACGGGACAAACCTGTTCAAGACAACAAGAAGAAAAATATCGGGAAAGTTTGAGAAGTTTCTGAAGTAAGCAGACGCTAGTATTTTTCATTGTTCATTTCCCATTTGACACAACACACATGTTCTTAAAGAAAGTAACATAAGAAACAACTATCAGATGTCTGCATTACCGCTTTTCTAAAGTCAAAGCAATGCTCTTCTTGCAAATGGTTGCAAAGCATCTGGACTTCAATTTCTACATAACAGAAAGGGCAAGGGAACCAGGCCCGAACATCCTCTTCTTCTGCAGTATTATCCACATTTGAGAGATAATCTGCTTGAGAAACCATCATTAGTGTTGAACTATAGGAACTAAATTACGATAGCAAATAGTTCTGGCATAAATAAGTAGAATGGCTAGTCATCTACCCCATGGTTATTTGTTGGAAGTCTGAATCTTTTTCAAGTCAAAAAGGTGAAATGGAAAATGAATCCATCCATAGGGTAGATGTTGGAAGTCTGACTCATTTTCTCACTTAAAATTACCCCCCTACTCATGAAATCTTACCAAAAGTGAGTTGGGAGAGAAGAGTAAAGTAAAGAGTTAAGCATCTGCAAATATGATAAAGTCTCTCAAGAATCTTTCTGGTCCTAAAACCTCATTCAACCACACAATACCCTCCTCAAAGAAGAAAGCAAAGATAACTGATAAATCCAAATATGTTGAGTCGCACATATTATGATCTTCTACATCCCGTGTCTTCAAGTTTTATCATTTGCTCATCTTCTTCATGCAAAGGTACCTCGAGAAGGGTATAACTAATTTGGAATGTTTTCTTCATTATTTAGCCTTACTCAGTAGAACAGGATTTTCAAGAAGTGTTTAAAGTTCTCATGACTCAAAGAGAACACGAAATGTATATGCATATTAGGAGAGAGCTTCTTCTATCGTGATTTTAAGTTTGTTAGTTTCTCCTTCAAAACTTCCAAATTGGTTTATTTATACTATATTTTCTAGCTATTCATGTCATTCATCATTTTCAAATATTATTATTCCTAACACAAGCCAATCAAGCTTCGATTGAATTTCTCTTCCAACTGACTAACCAACTCCAACAACATATGTAACTGTATAATAACAGATCAAGAAAAGAAGTATATAGTTAAACTATTTAAAATGAATATCTTAAGAAAAGGAAAAGAAAAAAGTATAATACTCCTAAATCTGGCAAGTGAAGGAATGGAAGTATAGTATGTTTACCAATTAATGAACAAGCCAACATAAAAAAAAACATCTACTTTAATCCAAAAATAGTCAAAGATCATTATAGCCTGTTTGGCCGCCAAGCTTATTTTTTGGCCAAAAGTGTTTTTTTTTTTCGCCAAAAGCACTTTTGGCCAAGCTGAAGGAAAAAGTGCTTTTGAATAGAAGCAGAAGCAGTTTTGGAGAAACAGAAAAAAGTAACGGGATCCTCAAAATAAGTTGATTTTTGCAGCTTGACCAAACGGGCTATTAGACTCTGTACTTAAAAACTCCCGTGACAGTGTGACTGACTGAAATGGGACTTAAAAAGCTATGGCAGGAAGTCAGAACAGTTCCTAAGACAAAAACGTGAGATGCAATTTGATAAATACCAGAATTACTGAGATGGTTTGTTTGGACAGCAGAGAGGTGTCTAGCTGAATTTATTCTTGCTGCGCAAAAGTCCAAATCCATTTTCCACAAATTTCTCTCTTTTTTCTTGGATTAGGATAGTACAAGTCACCTTCTTATTCTTCTAATCCAAGCAAAGAATAAAGGGCTTACAGATTGTTCAATAAATAGCTAAAGCCAGCCAAATCAACAAAAGTTTTGGACAGAGATGGTTCTAAAGATTTAAGAAGAAAGGAAAAGGAGTGTGGCTGCTGCTTTTCCTAATATGTGTTAGATGATGGGAAGTTGTGTTGTACTAGTAATTTGTATTTTAGCAGTGGAAATATTGTATACAAAGAGACAGGTGGGTGGGGTCAGAGATTTTGGAAAGCTTTTCTGACACCCAAATGCTATAGTGTTATATATATTCTTGACACGTGTTGCTATCTCAGTGGTAAATTTTCACTGACAAAATTCCCACTGTTTACTGTACTGGTAATTATTTGAGTTAGATCTGGACATCTGGTTAACACATTTTCTTTCATTCCTTCAAAATGGTAACTTAGGAAGAAATTTGTATAACTAGTGAATCACAATGTACTTAATAGTCAAGTAATTATGGGTCGTTTGGTAGAGTGCATAAGAATAATCCTTAATAGGGTGTATTAATAATACTGATATTAATTATGCTGACATATTTCTTATTCATTATTTGGTTTGATATATTAAAGCATTGCACAATTTCTAAAAGTGTTGTTTACAAAAATATCCTCACAATCATTCCATCACTTTATCTTTTTGGAAGAAATATATGTTGAGGAATATTTTTATATGAAAAAGATTTTAAAAATTTATTTGATTTGTCTACCTATATTGTCGTATAGAACTTAATATTTATTTATAAAAAAAATATGCTAAGTATTTTTTTATTTACTAGAGAAATAATTTTGTTTTCTCACTTTCATGGATTATTGCAAACTTGCATAAATATAATAGCATCTTTTAATCAAGCGTAAATTTTGAAGGAAAATTATGTCTTTAACTAAGTTAATGCATGCATTAAAATCCATTACATTGTTAATACCATGGTTTCTTATGCATTAGTTATGCATATGATAATACTAAATAAGGTGTATCTTGCATAACTAATACATAAATTCAAAAAGTATACCAAATAAAGTATTACTAATACACAAAAATAGTACTTGCATTATTTTAACTAATGCTTCCTACCAAACGATCCTTAGTATTCGGCATATTTGCAGATTTTCCTCTGGCAAACTTTTCAATAAAGGGCTTTTTTTGGCTAAAGAAAAGATACCTTGCATTCTAAAAGTACTTTAAGAAAGTTCAAAAAAGAGGTTAGGTAACGTCCAAATGTTGTGCTCAAATATAGTAATTAACTACGTGCTTTTCAAATATAAATCTTAAGTAATTATGGAATAAAGAATGTAGCATACCTAAAAGATTGATGAAGAAAATAATAGTTGGGTTATATGGTGGAAGTAATTAATAACACCTGGCCTAAATATTACTTTGTTGTCAAGGATAGCGACTAAGTGATTATTGTTCCATAAATAATTGACATTAGGACGGTGTAGAGTACCCACATGACCAAACAATTGCATACAAGTTCATTAATAAGTCCTTTCTTTTCTGCTTCTTTNAACATAAGTAGGCACTATTTTAGAAAAATTAACATAATCATAGCAGTAGGCCATGATTAACAAAAATGGCAGCAACTTAATTTCATTCTGCAGCCGTTAAGCATTTATTATGGCAACTAAACATAGACAAACACGTGATAGATTCCTAAATCAAAGGAGGGAATCAGGAATAACAACTCCAAACTTTTCTTTCGTATTTTTCAGCTCAAAATATTATCTTCCAAATATGTTTTATAAACAAAATACAGTTAAAGAAAAGATAATATCCTAAAAATATTAACGTATAATCCCATATATTAAATTTATAATTTGATAGGAAACATGTATCTTATTTTTAGTCTATCTTGTATACTAATACATGTGATATCCCATACATATCCACATATTTTGTATTTAACAATTGCATATTATATTATATACCATCTTGTACATTTAAAAAAACAGATACGTAAGGTATATATGTGATATATATACATTATATACAATTTATACATATGGTATATACCATTATATATATATATATATATATATATAAATTTATATACCATTTATACATATGGTATATGTTATTTATACAGTATAAACTGGTATGTTCTGAAAAGTGTGTGTATATATATATATATATATATATAAAACTCATGAATGCTTCACGTTTAAAGCCTTTCAATTTATTTAGTGATTGAATTTTGTGGCAGGGCGAGAAAATAGTGAAAAGGAAGAGAAAATCATGGAATAAAGGATTTTTAAATTTATTTTGACAAATTTATATTAAAGAGGGATTACTTTTTAGATATTCTTTTTTCAAAGTCTTTGATATATTTGGGTAAGTGTTATTTATGAAAGAGAAGAAAAAAATTATGGAAGAGAGAGGGAAAAGGAAATGTAATAAAAGTGTATTGATGAAGATGGATCCCTGAGTTAATGAGCTACCAATGTGAAAGTGCTAAAAAAGTTTAAAAAAAATGTGTCAGTTTTGGAATAAACAAAGATTACTATCATTTATGAGAATAATTTTTAAAAAGGGAGCAACCATGTAAAAATCTCAAATAATTAATATTCTAGGGATTTTTTCCTATGTATACTATAATAGAAATTTATTTATCTATTTTCTCTAGGTTTTGTAGTTTTTAAAAAGTATCTAGTTTTTTTTTTTTTTTTTACAAACTATATGTATTCCTCCTTAAAAAACTCTTACCTCATTATTAGCACCTTCAATTAAGGGATTGAATTATATCCATTCCGTTTTTTTCTCTACTCCCCTCCCTCCCTTTTCTTCTACGTAGATCTGGAAGCAACTTCTTCTTCCAATATTATTTCACCAATTTTTTTCTTCCAATATCTCGAAAATTCTATACAAGATACTCGTTTATGGTATAAGAAGGCACAAGCAATAAAAATGGACAAAAAAAGTCTTGAACAAAAAAAGAAGCCATACTCGCCATAGAAATGGAACCAAGGAAATGGTTATTTTTTGTACGGTAACATTTTCGATCCTATACAATTTTGAAGATACATCCTAGTAATTATAGGAAATCTGAAATTTTTCTACCCGTACATGTTACTACTCTAAAAGCTAATATAATTCTGATACAAGATTGTATTGTAATTGTATCATTATTGTATCAAGTATTCTTTCATGTATTGATGCATCAAATACAATTCAGATATACAAATTTGATATAATCCTGAACGAATTCTTATACAATTACGATACAACTTAAAACCAATTCTAAACTTAAACTGAATCAATATCATATTATACTTGTATTAGTAATGTATCATGTATTGTTTTAGGTACAAATTGTGATACAATTATGATACAATCGCGATACAATTCTTAATTATGATACAATTTCGAACTTTCATCTTTTTCAAGTATCAATCTATAACATCCACCTAGAACCAACTCTAAACTTAAATTATGATACAATATAGTATTATAATAGTATTAGTATTGTATCAGAATTGTCTTAGGTATTGATGTATCAAATACAATTCAGATACAATTATGATACATTTATCATACAATCGTAATACAATTCCGAAACTTCTTCTTTCTAGAGTTTTATTCTGAAATTCTACCTAAAACCAACTTTAAACTTAACCAATCTCCCTTAAAATTGAGATATGAACCCTAAAGGATATTTTTAATCGTTTTCAAGAACACCCAATCCAAAAAAATCACAAATTCGTAAAATTCGGATATCTAATTCAAAGTTTCGAAACTTTTTAATGGTATGTCAATGGCAGACCCTCTACCTACAATTTTAGAGATAATATCGCTGGATTTGTCAATAGTGGAAACTTTTTAATGGTTGTTGATGGAAGTGATTCACAGAAATATATGATGTCATTAGAGAGATAATAGTATGATTTGTATGAAAGAGAGAGAAAGAGAGAGAGATTGGTTGATTTGTATGAAAGAGAGAATGACTTTAAAATCTTTTGAAATTGGGAAGAAAATCGTGATTGTAGGAGGCTATTTAAGCTGACAGATGGGGATGAGGGGTACAATTACAAATTAATCCCTATATTTAGGGGATCCTTCTTTTATCCTGATTTTGTACATAAATAGTAAATATAGATACATAAAGTAATTTTTAAGGAACATAAAGAAAAGTAGTTAATAAGTTTCTAATATAGTATAACTAGGTAAAAATTCCAATATTGTAACTTGAATTACCTCACGTGTAGCCTGTTTGACTAAACTTTTAAAATCAACTTATTTTAAAAAGTGGTTTTCAAAAAAATACTTTCAGTGAGAAGCAGTTTATTATTGGCTAATCAATTTGAAAAGTACTTTTGAACAACAATTAATATCTGACCAAACTTTTTAAAAAGTGTTTCTAAGTATATTTTCTCAAAAGTGTTTTTCAAACTATTTCTCTTATAGCCTGTTTGACCCAGCTCTAAAAATTAACTTATATTGAAAATTGCTTTTTTAGAATGTGCTTTTCGAAAAAGTACTTTTGGAGAAAAATAATTAGTGTTTGGCTAATCAATTTGAAAGTACTTTTGAGCAATAATTTTATATTTGGCCAAGCCGTTCGAACGGTGCTTTTAAATATCAAACTATGGACATGAACAAATTTACTTAATAGTTCATATTATATAAATAGATGAATAATCATAAATATTTATTATTAGAGACAATTATTGAGCTTTTTTAAATTTTATTTAAGTAAAATATGAAAATAAAATTGAAATACTTTACTCTTTCAAGATGATTTAAATATATCAAAAAATTATTCAACAAATATGAAAGTTCATCCCAAAAATCATTATATATTACTTAATGCAGTTCAAACTAACTAAGGTTATTTTGGTATATACAATATTTTGCTGAGAGTATTTTTGGTAAGAAGAAAATTCAAAATTCCTTCTGCTTCTATTTCTAGGGAGAAGTTACTTTTTTTATTTCTCAAATACTGTTTCTGCTTCTACCCAAAAGAAATTTCCTCCCAGAAAAGCTTGGCCAAACACCTCAAGTTGAGAGAAAAAAATAATGTTTCGAGAGAAAAAACACTTTTGGCCCTGGGAGAAGCTTGGGTAAACATATTATTATACTGAAAAGTACTTTTTCTAAAATTTTGGTCAAACACCTTAACTTTTTAAAAAAAATACTTTTGGCTAAAAAA